ACCAGATTTGTAAAAATAAGTTATCTAAAAAGCTACAAAATACATGATTTTTGGACTTTTTTTACATTTCTGCTTACAATTACGTGAATCAATTGATTAATTTTTATGTACACGTACTGTATATATATATGTCTTGTTTGTATTATTTTATGATCAGATTTAATTTTAATTCTATCTGTTACTAATGTTGGAATCTAGGTTAAAAATCGGTAACATTGAAAATTATACAAAAATAATATAAGCTATATTGACCTCGAAACACTTATATTATTACACCTATGTTGAGTGATACACCTCTGTATACCGCGTTTGTGGTATTATGTCTGATATTACGTAACGTGATTACTGACTTTTTTTATCAGTTGATTACATTACATATAGTGCATGATAATAGCACTATATGGGTAGCACTATGCAATTACTTTTACTACCATTGAATAGATTATTTAAGTTAAAATATATAATCTTTTTTTTGTAGATACACAAATTGCAAATTTTTATGTAATTTTTTTTGTAATAGTGCATATTATACTTTAAGATAATAAGATTATTTGTATTTTTATAAGATTATTTGAAATTATATCCGTCTTAAAGAATTAATGTAATTTGGTATGTATTAAAATTTAATTCAATATTGTGTATGTTAATTATAAGTGAGAGTAAACCTTGGTCCCAATATCAAATGTGTGAAAACCAATGAATTTTTACATGTAATATTTTTATACTTTCTTATATACATATGAATAAATATTAATAATAGTATTCTATTACTACAATTACTACTAATATAGTTACATTTTATTAGAAATTTACTTTTATTTTTTATTAGAATTTTATATATTCCATTAAAAATCTATTTCTTATTAGATGTTTATCATAACGAAATAGTGTTAATAACAGTAAAAAAGAATCATATTTGAGATTGAAATGTTAATGAAGTCCATTGTCATTGTTATAAATAATTTTAATCGTATGTAAAAATCGTATATGTAAAAATATTTATTTACAAAATTTATCGTTATATTTTTAATATTAAGAAGATGTACTATGATTTAATGGAATACATTGATGATTATGCATGGAAATTCTTTTTTAATTAAAAAATTAAAAAATTCTTTAATATAATAAATTGATAATAAATCTTCTAATGTTCCACTTGGCAGCCTTCAAGACTCAATGCTCGAGCTAGGTTCCTAGCAACGGCTAGTCGGAAGATTTCAATTTTATTTTGAAACTTTAGATCATCTCCATGTGCTTCTACACAACGTAATAATTCAAAACAATCACTGGAAGATAAAATTACATCTTTGGCTTCTAATAATGGAATAGCATCCGACAAAAGAATCGACCAAAAGCTGAAATAAAATTTTTCTATTAAATTGCTTTTCAATTTAAAGTTTGGGTGTAGATATATGGATAGCTTACTATTTTGGTGTTAAATTTGAAACTAAAAGGGACACTAATAAACTTGCTGCTTCTTTAAATTCTCCAATGCCATACATTTGATGAAATTCGCAATACTTTCCTATTGTAAAAAACAATAAAAATTATAATCGAATAAAAATTCAACTTCTTAATAAAAATTTGCTTGTTTCTCAACTCAAACTCCAAAATTGATTTACCTAAGAATGTGAGTCTATCACTAGCCATCATACAAAAACCTAAATTTTCTAATAGGTCACGACAATCCAATTCTCCGTGTTCTGCATAACGCTTCAAAAACTGATCTGCAATATATGTTATAAAACCACTATCTTGCGCTTTTAATGCCCATGCAAGTGCATTTCCCAATCTTCCTTGCCTCATAGATTTTAGTCCTTGAATTTTACAAATGCTAGTAACTAACAAAGAGTTTTTAAATATAGTCAGTATGTTTTATATTAAAATGAATTATATATATGTATATAATAATTTGAGAAACAATATCAACCTATATGATCCATCTTATTATCTCGTGCTATATCAAGAATTTTATTTACTCTTGCTTCTGACCCCATTGGAAGTGACTGTAACAGTATTTCTAGTCTAGCTAAGCCTTGAATAGGACAATGTATTAAGTAACTTGCACCACATTGCCACAAAGAATGATGTGCCATTAACGTGTTCCCATATTCCAATATAAGAGATTCATGAAGTTGACTGCTAACTCTGATAAAAAATAAAATAATTCTCATTTTGCAAACTTTATATAACATAAATTATCTACTAACTTACTTTATTTGATCTCTATCCAATATTTTAAGTTTTCCACAAACATATAATAGATCTACCAAATGAGTAGCAAACCATCCATTATCACCCATATATTGTATTTCTTTAATAACATGATGTAAGTCGCTTTCCATAACAGCACGTATAGCATTATCAGAAGGTCTATTAGCTTGCCATCTCTTGGAAATACTATTAGCATGATGAGAAAGTTCAGGTTGCTTACAACATGGAGAAGTATAAAATAACTTTGCTGCCAACAGTTCATACCAAGCATCTGTATATTGTGAAAATTGCCACAATATATCTTGTTCTCCTGAAATTAACTGCATTAAATGTTTTTAATAATTTAAGTAACATTATGTTATTGTATTTGTACACGTATATATTTATATAGATACCTTCATAATCATTTCTAAATAAGTATCAACGATAAAAGTTTTACTATTTAAATTTGAACACAACTCTAGTTGCCAACGTTTCCAACATGTAGTAAATCCATCTATAGAATAACCACCATACACATTATAGATGGGCATTGTTTTAAGAATATTTTCTGCCATTACAAAAGCAGGGTGATCTGCTTTGCTATGTAATGCTAATAAAGCTCTTACTAAATCTAACTTTCCATGTAATGCACAGCCTATTACAGCTTCCCAATAATTTGGATACTCCAAATCAGCACCGATTGTCTTCTGGGCTAATATTTTAACTGCTACAAGTTCTCTAGATGGAAAATGAAATCTAATCCATTCTAACAATTGTGGTAATACTACATCACCTAAATTAAAAATATTATATATTAGGATGTTTCAATATATATTTGCCATTCTCTGTTTTTAATAGATAATTAAAACAAAATAATTTACCTGGTACTATATCTACATAAAGGATTTCGATCAAGTGCCATATACATTCTATTTGATAAAAAATGGTCAGAAAATTTTCTAGTGATTCTTTTTTATCAGTCAAACATTTTCCACATATATCTTGCAAACTTTCTATACATGCTCTTAAAATAGACCTGTATTGCTTGCTATGTTTTAAAAGTTCTGGTCTAACATCTCCAGAAGAAGATTTTATTTTTTGAATGGACAGAAAGACACCATTACTTTCGTTTACTAATTTACGTAATTGTGGAGAAAACAAAATTACTTCTGGCTTTAAAATATGTACCGTTGGCTCATATTTCTCTGAACTTTTTTTAGTTGAACTTTGAAATCTTTTATTCATATATATACTGATTCTGCTACTATTTACCCAACTTCCAGTAATACATAGATGTTTAGGAGTATTTGGAATATCCTACAAATAAAAAATATTTTTCTTAATATATTTTTATAAATGTAAAATATAATTAAAATATAAAATATGATAATATTAAAATGGAGTAAGCTATATAACCTTATACATTTTAAATAACTCGTATAAGAATAAAAATATTACAATAAAATTATAAATATTTTATTATGCCAGATGAGTTTTATAAGATCGGGACAATATTAATTGCATTAAACGAAAGAAATATAGGTTAGGTGTTAATTCAAAGCATGCATGTGGTTCACGAAGTTTTATTACTTACGATTGTAGGAGGACTGTAGTTTTCGTCCATACTTAATACGAGAAAGAAACTGTTAGTCCAAGTATACTTTACTATATAATGACATTCACATCAATTTATTTGTAATTAACTTTATTATTTCTCCACAGAGTTAAATGCACTGTACTGTCAACTATTGGTATCTGTATTTGATTGGGAAACTATCGATATATCGTATAATTCCGTACTGTACCTACATATCGATACTCGACAAATACTATCGATAATATGAAAAGAAACGTTCTATCGAAACCTACAAAGTCTATGTACTAGTCATACTGCGATTTTAAGAAGACTCAAAACTTTGACAGGATATATAAATAAAGTTTTTGTCTTATAATTATATTCAACATTGTATTTTATACGTAAAAGTCTATGATTTCGTACCTTTAATTGATAATTATCAGTAAATACAAAGTCTGAAATTGGCGGGAAAAGAAACATTGATCAAAAAGATCAACGTTAAATGTAATACCAAAGCGTAAGTAGCTATCAAAATATATTTTCATAATAATTATTATTCACATTAATTACTTATTTTTAAATTAATTATAATCAATAATTACATCCTAATTTTTTTTAGTTTCTACATGTCCAATATATTACCGTATGTTTTAAAAAATTTATTTTTTACAAAACAACCATTACATCAATTACCAAATAACCAATGTATTATAATGCCAGTGATTTGTAGAATTTTATAATCTCTATCGAAAATCAATATTTTTCAATATCATTTAAGATATATATATATGTATACTGCATATAATTGGATCTATCATATACATCGAGTCATTACCAATCAACGAAGCTATACACTATATAACATCGAAATTATTTCAATACTCATTACGCGAATATCAAATACAAATTCACTCAACATCCAATACATTGGAACATTCACATCCAATAACGTCTGTTCATAATTATAAATATCATTTACAAATTAAAGCAATACAACGTTGCTAAAACAAAGGTTAGTTCAGTAACATTTTTCTAAGCTTTTGTAATTTTTAAGCATAACAAAGCACGAGTTAGTCTCACGCGCAACATTCTTAGCAGGTCGGGTTTACCATTGGCGGTCGAACGTAGCCGAGGAGAAACGACCCTTAACACGATCGCGAATACCGGGTTGTGCACGAATAGCTTGAGCTTGCGCGGTGCTTTCGAAAGGCGCGTCCTGGCTCCGTCGTCTGATCGCGGTTGGGCTTTTATTCGTTGTCGAGCTTTCGTGCTGGAGCGTGCGCGTCTCTCATCGTAGCGAAATAAAGAGAGAAGGAAGGAGAGAGCGGTCTCGTTCGCGTCCGGCCGGGTCATCACGTACCAATCCCACAAGTAGCAGAGACGCTGTATCCAGGAAGGCTAGATATAGGGTCGTTTTGCACGCGAAAATGTAACGATCTCAGTAGTGGGGCCGGTTGTCTGGAAAATTGGTTTAGACAGAAGGGGAGAAAGAGGTGATATCCCTTTCCCCGCGTCGCAGCTCGCGAGTGAAGCATCTTGCAGAGGGGATCCATGGCGTGAAGCATCGGTTGGTTCATCCAACTATTTCTACACGGAAGTCTGAAGCTTGAGAAAACTCAGGTAAGTGGGTACGCATATACCTTCTTCCTGTTTTCGTTTGCTCATCGGGTAATCAATCGCTCGGAGAATTTACGATCTACATAGTTGCTTCGCTTTCTTGCCTCGCTGCCGGCTTCTTTGATCATTTTCGTTTGTTCGCATAGACGGGCAAACGCTGGAAATCACTTGCTATATTGTATTTGAACGAAAGTTTGTTGCAATTTGAGGAAGACTCATGTTTTCAAAGAAGATGATGTAATTTGATATCGGCTTTTCGTATTGGTTATTAGGAGCATGAGTAAGAATATCGACTATATGAGTTTTTAAAAGTCGTGGTGATAGTCACAGTTGGCGTTTTGCGCAAAATTTCGCCCGACTACGTGCTTGACTACGTACGACGCAGTACTTCGTTGGCCTCCCCTTTCACCTTTCGCTGATATGTCTTAATTCTAGCGACTACAGCTATATTTCAATACTTTTGCCAAAATATTCTATACATTACAATTTCGTATTATAAACTTATTGCTTGTTATAAACTTATTTAGAATTTTTACATATATATACATATACATATATATATATTAGATGTATATGAAAAATTAATATTAATAAATAGAGCGTATATCTGCTTAAAATGAAACGAGACAAGATCAGAGTCACACAAATTTGTCTAATACTCGAAATAGTATTATGATTTATTAATCGATTATTGGACTTTCTTGTGAGTAGCGTCCGTATATGGAGTATATAGATTTCGTATATACATGCAGTATGTTGTATCTTGAATTTTCGCAACAGGTTATGTTTGTAGAGTTCGAATAACGTAAGAAACAGTATACAAAAACAATTTACAAATCGTAAATAGACAATATCTGTCAATATATCTCACATAATTGAGTCGGTCAAAAAATATTTCAGACTTACGTGTTACCTGTATACTTTGAACCCACCAATTTTTATAGAGATTGAAAGTTCGGGGAATGTCATTTCATTCTTCCGAAATAATTTAATTATTTCTATATCTATTACTAAACCAAAAAATTTTAGAAACTACTAAGATACATAAAAATATCTAATCATTTCGAATTATTTTTTAACTCATTATCTACATAATTAAAAATCATGAATAGTTTTTAATGATATTTAACCTGCAACATAATTTAATTAAATGAGAATATTATATAAGACCTTGTTATCAGTGTATCCTTACATCCTTTACAAATAAAACTATAAAATCGATGATTCTTTAAAAAAATTTTTTTAAGAAGATACTACATATCATTAAAGCAACAGGTTGTTTTAATCATATATAAAAAAAGCATCTTTTCTAAAATATTATTATATATAATATAATTAATTTATTGCACTCTATCCAGGAAATAATTTTTTAACGAGAAAAATGTGTATGTTGTGTTTCAAATATTGGAATAAGTTCTCTATAAAATTGATAAACCATTTGATATTTGTTTCGCCCAAGGAAGTTACTTCTACTTTAGCAAAATCAAATTTAAAGTGCCCTATTTCTGATGCGATGGGTAAATAAAATTGCTGTTCGTCAAGCGTCACATATCCTTCTTTTTATTCTTTTTCTTAGGGTCATAGATAAGGAGTAGGTTAAAGATCTCTGAATACGTAAACGCTACTTCGGTCGATGACTGCTCGGGGTGAAACAAAATAACAGAAACATTTTATTCACCTTGTTTTGCTTATGTTTTTTTGTTAAACGATTGGTGACTTCTTGTTTTTTGTTTATTATTTATTGTAACATTTTGATTTTTATTTTATTTTATTTTTACTAATCGTAACATAAATTTCTAGTAGTAGCAACTTGGCAAAGTAAATCTGGCAAAAGGTATTTTACTTGATGTAGCATAATACGAAATTAATTAAACGTATTATAATTGTTTTATGTGCTTAATTGGTTAGGAGGGTAAAATAAATTAATAAATGCAACGAAAATGTACTGCAACCTGCACTTAGGGATCGCAATTTTCTTTATTCCGTATAAACTATGGGACGAATGTGTGAAGTATGGTTGGGTCTTGTCATTCTCTCGGAATTCTTTAATTAACTATGCCTACAATGCTTCGGTGCTTTCCCCTTTCTAGCTGAAAATAAGAATATTTAATTAGAAAAATGTGCGATACAGCGCATCGCATCAAAATTTATAGCCAACAGGAATCGTGATTATACAAAGTTTTAATATATGTATTAAGTTTTATTCTGCCTTGTATATTTTAACTTCCCTTTGTTTTCCTTTTTATCTGTGGTATATAAAAATTTTGCAAAACGTTATAACAATTTTATATTTAGAAAACCTTCATTTTACGTCTTGACGTTGAATATTTTATTATTATTTTACGAATTCTATATTTCTAGATTTATAAAACGAGAACATACTACACAGGTTATGATATTTTCCACGTTGACTGATTTTCTGACACTTAATACATTATTTATAAAAAATAGGCGACAAAAGATTTTCAAAAGTAGAAATACAGTAGCTTCTGGATGTTTCCAATCAAACATCATAGTTCTCTTTTATGGATGAATCATAAGTAATATCTAGGAGATACTATGACTTGTAAAATAGCATTTCATTAAATTGTCTGCAAGAAATATTCCATTAATTGTATAATGATTTAGATTGATACAGTTTGACGCAGTAAAATGGTTCATAAAGTGAAAATAAATTTAAACATTTAGGTATTACAAGTTTTTTTAAACCTATTGTAGCCTATACATACAGGCGTGTAATAAAAGATAGAAATAATAATAATAACTAAAATAACATAATAAATAAACCACACACTTTCAAACGTCAAATAACATGAAAATCAGAAAATTATACTTACCTTATCTTCGTTTTGTAGTTCTCATCTCTTTACTTATATTCCTAAATATTTTTGTATAAAAATCGATAGTCTACTTATAAATGAACTTCCTAACCAGCGTGCAGTAATATGAATAATTGAGAATCGGACGGATAAATTAAGCGATTATTGGATTAAACCAAAGAGGTTCGTGATGTCGAAAGTCGAGTGTTCGGCACACGTCATTCTCGTTGCGATCGAACTTTCTCCTCCGCTGTATCTTCGGTGTTTTTAGCCGCGGTACACGACCTAGCTCTCGGTCTCGTTTGATTTGATGGTATGTCCTCTGTTAGCCGTAAATCTCGGTGCGCGTGCCTCTTTTGTCAAATGCATCGCGTTGACGCGATGAAACACGATGAATCCGGGGATCAAAAGAAACGGGACTCGGAACCGGTTCTATCTACTCCTTCAATCTTTTCCCTGCAATATACTATACATCGCGACGAATGCAAAGAGTTTCACCCTTCCACGGATTTCAAAACAAATATTTTCTTCGAAAGGAAACGCCGATAACGATACAGGTAGTCACCAAAGTATTTGAACACTTATAAAAACCTTTTACGAATATATCGCGTATTTTATAGGAAAGATTCTGAAATTTGATTAGCACCATAATGAGACAAAATTGTCACGATTATAGATGAGGTGGACGTTGGATGAAAGTGCCCAGTAAATACTCTTGATGTTCAACAAAAAAGACTTATTTAACAATTAACAATTGCGCTTTGCTTCGCTGTTACACTAGACCCTTCGCACTTCACTGTTCGAAACGGAATGAATCTTTCGTTCAAAACCAAACGGATTATTTTCTTTGTTGCCCCTCGATATCCCCATTTCGCACGCGTTTGTTACATGTTCGTGACGGTTGCCGCGTATGAGTTCTTCAGAATATTCGGCAAAAAGACCGTAGTGATATCGATTGTACATTAGGCATGCTGGCCTTACGCTCTGAAGATATAGCGCTTTATGTCGCGGAGCCGTCGGAAAATTCTATTCTAAAGATATATATAAAAGTTAGCAGACATTTATTACAAGTATACACTTCATATAAATCACCGGAGTATTTGATCAGAAAATTATTGATCGTATATAGCAGTAAACCACAACATTTAATGAAACAATTTATAACTATTTATTATTCTATTTTTAAGACCACTATTCGTGCTGTGTATTAATTCTTTATATACGTTTTGTGTACGTTAGCGACGATTGTCTCGTAACTTCTATGAACATTTACATCAACTGGTTCCAAATTGCACCAATATAATTACAAACAGTCATATCTTATCATAGTGTTGATTAGTTTCGTACAACACATAATTTTCTATTGTAAGGGTTCGGATAATTTTATGAACTAATGTACATTGAACGAATTGTACAGAAATCGTTTTTAGCTTTAGCATTGGAGGAAATCAGAACGGGCATTGACGAAATACAAAATTAGCGCTATGAAGACGAGCGCTTAATGTTATTACTAACAGCTGGTCAAGATAAATGAAGAAATCGAGTCTTTGAATCGAAACTTATTGTAGCAATAAAAGTTAACATTATTTTAGAAACGAAGATCAAATACAGTTGGCTCCGTGGACTGATTTAAGTATTTTGTCGCCGAAATATGTGTTGAATGTAAAAAGTTTCAGTCCTTCACAAGTTCATTGTATGTATGTAAATATTTTGTTGGCGACAATCGTGTATCGTGTATCAAACGAGCTATCGCGTGTTAGAAAAATAAAGAAATCGTTTTTTAGCATTGGAAAAAATTGAGATGTGCGTTGGCAAAATAAAAAGTAGCATTGTTGTTGAAACGAAGCTGAGTTGGAATACAATCGGTTCTATGGACTGTTTTAAACAGTTTTTTTTTGTCGAGACGCGAAGGTTTTCATTCTTCTATAGGTTCGGAATAAATATTTTATCGGAAATCAAACGATGGCAATTGTGTATCAAATAAACTATCACGTGTTAAATATACAGAATATAGGAACGCATGTATGTCTACAAAAAATATACAGAAATTGTATTTTATCATTGGGACGCGCGTCTAAATTGGAATACGTGTAAAACGACTGATTTCGTTGAAAAAGTAAAAAACGAAACTCAGTTAACGAAATTCAGATCGATTGGAATTCCTGGATTTAAATCGTTTATTTA